AAGTGGTTTTTGAAGTCTTTCTCCTGTTTTACAATCAAACGATTAGAATACTAAGCATTGAATGTTAAGCTGAACTGTTTGGTATAGATATATTATTAAATTAGAGTTGAAGGTTAAAAGATGATAAGCCTATCAAAAAGGATTCAAACTGATGCTGTATGATATCCTGTCAACACTAAGCTAATTGACCAGTTATAGACCAGTGATGGTTATTTTGCAGTTGTTAAATTACATTTCTATGTCAGTATAAAGATTTCTATTTAATATATTATTCTTATTATTACAAATCTGTAAGGCCTAATAAACAAACAATCAAATTAAAAAATTATTATTATTATTATTATAGTTTTAGAATTTATAACTTCACAAAAATTGTTTATTTCTTCTTTTCTTCTTTCTCCTTAACCAATTTTTTTCTTTCTTTATTTGAATGACTAATACAAGAAGTTTTTCTTCTTCTTTTTTTTTTTTTCTTTTGCAACACGATCATTTTCTAAATTACAGACATGTAATTTTTTTCCTTAATCCTTGTTAATTATCGGACCACTTGAATGGGTTCGCAAAAAAGAGGTGTTGATGTCAGTCAACAATTCGCAAAATATTATTAGGTATGTATGTTACGTTTTTACTATCGAACGAAAAACCCACTTTGATCAGCAGTGTCGAGTTAAATGTTAATTTCCTTATTCGAAAAACAGGTCAACTACACAGCCTTTTAACATTTCTGCAATGTTTCCGCTCAGCTGTTTCATATTTTTCTCAATTTTTTCTGTCACTGTTCAACTGTCACAGTTTGATCCATTAATCAAAAGATTTACAAGTGATGAATTTGAGCAGAATCCAATTGGATATGCTTTTGCACATCTGCTAGATGATTCCAGTCCAAAACAGGTTAGTGAAATTAAGAAAAAAATTTTTGAACTATTAATAAAAATATTTATACAATGAAAATTTTATAAAGTTCTTATTAATAATAAATATTCTGTCGTCATTAAATTGTCAATAAAAAAAAAAATGTTTTTTTTTTTTTTTTTGAAGCAGAAATTCCTTGTCGGTAATGGTAAGCAGTGATTAAGTTAGCGTTTTTATAAGGAAGCCGTTTCTGCGGCAATAGAAGTCATATAGTGAAATTGAATTTAAAAAAAAAAAACTAATGATTTTGAATCTTTCAAATCTTTCCAGCAACTTTTTCTATTTGACAAACCACTGGTGACTGACTGAGCAATTTACAGAAATACTTCTGTAAATTTACGGAATCAGACTGTATAAAGCAATAAGCGTTTGTATTACTCACTGTATAGAGCTGTAAGTTGAGAATAGTTGGTGATGAGCAACCAAATCATTTCACTAACATTTCAAACAAAAAAATTCTTGTCAAATAGAGTTTCAAGAAAGTTGAGACATTAGACAAATGGACGATGAGGAAAAACTGAAGAAAGAGAATGTGGGACAAATCGGAGGGAGAAGAACCTGTGTTTTTTCTTGTACGAAAACCTAAAACAGACAATTGCAATTTCAATGCTGCTGAATCATATTCAGCTGTCAGTTAATTTTTTAAAAGAATAAATTGATGTTACATTGATGACGAAAGTGTTATCGATTTTTGATCAGTCATTTTATAGAAACTCGTAAAGTTTCATTTTCTGAAACAGTTATTTTTGTCATCGTATTTTGCAGAACGAAAAAATTTATACAGTCAAACATTCGATTGACGACAGTGGTCAAGATGACACGGATGATTATCCAAACTTTGGTAACGTAGCTGGCAAGGTAAGATATCGAAAAAATTTCATGATTTGTATGGTTTAATCTCTCAATGATACTTGTAGACCGGTTGTTCTGGTCAAACAGCACATTTGTAAGGTCTTTGAAACAATTTTTAGCTCTATTATTATTTCTCATGTATTTGCATGACAATACATTTATTCAAAAACCGATTTAACTGCCTTTTAAGTTGAACATTTTATTTTCGTTAGCCTTATTTTCTTCTCCTATAATTCAAAATAATTTTTTTTAAAAAAAAAAAGGTATATTATGTAATTTTTAATCCTTAAAAATCTTTTTCTTTTTTTTTTAACCTAACATTTTCTATTGCTTTCATCGTTAATTTTCATCTGTTTGTATTGGTCTTTACGAATTAATACATTATGGAAATTAGGCCATAGTAATTGAAAAAAAAGTGCCAACTTATTCTTCGAATTTATTGCCGAATTTTGGATACTTTTTGAAACAAACTATTTCCATGTTTTGCTGCTTCAATTGCAAACAAAATTATCCGCCGTTCACATCGGATTAAAAAGTTTTTTCAATTGAAATTTAAAACAAAAAAAGGCCTTTTTTTTTTTTTTTTTT